GACAACATACCTAAGTATCATTGCTTATCAAGTTCATCCTATCATGTTGATGGTGGATCCCAATGGAGATGGCTTCTTGAAACAAGATAATGTGTCATGCCACGGTGCTCGTATTGTGCAGGAGTGGTTTCAAGAACATGAGGGAGACTTTACCTTGCTTAGGTGGCCCCCACAATCACCAGATCTCAATCCAATTGAGCATTTGTGGGACAAAGTTAAAAGAGCCATCAGGCAGCTGGTTCCACAACCATCAAATCTCACAGAACTGGACAGTGCTATTCATCAGGCATGGTGTCAGATTCCCCTCATCACCTTTCAACATCTCATGGAGTCAATGCCAAGAAGAACTGCCGCAGTATTGTAGACAAAAGGTGGCCCAACGAAGTACTGATGGGGTGGTCATAATAATCTGTCCACTCAGTGTATATACCTATGTAAAACCATTATCAATATAACAAATATTTCCATCATTCTCAAAAGTTTCCTTGAGACACTTTGTAATCCATCTCTCCCTTCAACCCTTTCCTCAGGCTACCACTGATCTGCTTTCTATCACTATGGATTATGTTGTATTTTCTGGAATTCTATATAAATGAAATTATACAATGTGTACTCTTTTTTGCTTGAATTTTTCATTCCAGATAGTGTTGTTTCATGTGTCAATTGTTTATTTTATTTTTTAAAAATATATTTTTATTGATTACAGAGAGGAAGGGAGAGAGATAGAAATGTCAACAATGAGAGAGAATCATTGATCAGCTGCCTCCTGCACGCCCCACACTGGGAATCGAGCCCACAACCCAGGAAATGAACCATGACCTCCTGGTTCATAGGTCGATGCTCAACCACTGAGCCACGCAGGCCAAGCTGTTCCTTTTCATTTTATTTCTAAGTTGTAATTCCTTTGTATAGATATGTAAAATAATTTGTTTATCCCATTTACTTGTTGATGGACATTTAGGTATTTCCAGTTTGAAGCTACTACAAATAAAGCTGTGAAGAACCTTCATTTACACATCTTTCGTCAAAAAATGTTTCTCTTGGGTAAATTCTTAGGAGTGAAATGCCTTGGTCATATGGTAAGTATGTTTAACTTTTTCAGAAATTTCAAAAATATATTCCAAACTGGTTGTACCTTTTTACATTCCTACCAGTAACGTATGAGAGTTTCAGTTGCTCCATATGCTCACTATCATTTGGAATGCTCAGTCTTTCCAGCACCATTTCTTGAAAAGCCTGTCTTTGCTCTATTGTATTGCTCTTACCCCTCCACTAAAAATCAGTTAACTATATTTTATGTAGGTCTGTTTCTGGGCTCTCTCTTCTGTCCCATTGATTTATTTGTCTATCCCTTCATCACTATCCCACTGTCTTAACTATACTAATATATATAATATAATTTATAATAAGTCTTGAAATCAGATAGTACCCATCCTCTGACTGTTCTTCATATTAAGGTGGCTCTTCTTAGGCTTTTGCATCTTATTATACATTTTAGAATAAGTTTGTCAATATCCACAAAATAAGTTGCTAGGATTTTGATTGGGGTTTTGATTAGTTAGCCTGGCTAGAGTTACTGATTTTCTTATTCTTTTCAGAAAACTAGCTCTTGCTTTTGTTGAATTTATCTATTAATTTCTTATTTTCACTTCCATTTATTTCTTCTGTAATTTTTATTATTTCATTTTTTCTGCTGACTTGGGATTTAATTTGCTCTTCTTTTTCTAGTTTCATAAGATGGAAGCTTAAGATATTGATTTTAGTTCTTTATTCTTTTCCAATATATCCATTCAATGCTATAAATTTCCCTCTGAGCACTGCTTTCCCTGCATCCCACAAATCTTGATGTTATATTTTTCTTTCCATTTAGTTCAAAATATTTTTTACCTTTCTCTTGAGATTTATTCTTAGTGTTATTTAGAAGTGTATTGTTTAATCTCCAAGTATTTGGAGATTTTCCATCAGTCCTTATGTTATTGATTTCTAATTTAATTCCATTGTGGTCATCTGAGAGTAGACATTATATGATTTATATTTCTTTAAATTTGTTAAGGCATGTTTTATAGTCCAAAGTGTGGTCTATCTTGTTGATATTCTATGTGAGCTTGAGAAAAATATGTTATCTGTTATTGTTTTTTATGAAATCATCTATAGAAGTCAATTATATCTAGTTGATTGATGGTGCAATTGAGTTCAACCATGTCTTCACTGATTTATTGCTTCAGAATCTGTTCATTTCTGATAGAGTTCATTTCTGATAGAGTTCTAACTATAAGTGGATTCATCTGTTTCTCCTTGCAGTTTTACCAACTTTTGCCTTTGGCATTTGACACTCTGTTATTAGGCATATACACAATAAGGTTTGTTATGGGTTTTTTAGATTATTGGCCCTCTATGTCATTAAGTGAAGCCCTTCTTTGTTCCTGATAACTTTCCTTACTCTGAAGTCTGCTTTTTCGGAAATTAATATAGCTGTACTTGCTTTGTTTGGGTTAGTATTAGCATGATTATATTTTTACAATCCTTTACTTGTAATCTATATGTGTCTCTATATTTGAGTAGGATTTTTATAGAAAACAAATAGTTGGGTCTTTTCTGATATACTCTGACAGTCTCTGTCTTCAAATTTATATAGTTAGAATATCGAAATTTAAAGTAATTATTGATATAGTTGGATTAATATTCACCATATTTGTGCTTCTTTTCTATTTTTGCCCTTGGTCTTTGTTGCCATTTTTGTCTTGCCTAATTTTCCTACATTTTGTGCTTTTTATACCATTTTATTAAGGTACAATTATTATACGAAAAACTATACATATTGAATATATACAACTTAATAAGTGTGGAGATAAGTATATACTCATGAAATCATCATCACAGTTTATGCTATTGGCATTTACATCACCTACAAAAGTTTGCTCTCATTTGCTTTATTTATCAGTATTTTGTGGTAAGAACACTTAACATAAGATCCACTTTCTCATCGGATATTTAAGTATACAAGTCAGTATTGTTAACTATAGGCACTATGTTGAATAATGGTTCTCTAGGATTTATTAATCTTGTGTTACTGAAAATTTGTACCATTTTATTAATACCTGCCCACTTGCCCTTGCCCCCAGGACCTGACAACCACCATCTTATTCTCTGCTTAAGTTAACTGACTATTTTTTTAATCTTTGTTGTTGAAAGTATTACAGATGCCCCCATTTTTCTCCAATTGGCCTATTCAAGCCTGCCCCCCACCCCAGGTCTTCGCCACCTTATTTTCTGTGTTTATGGGTTACGCATATATACATTCAAGGTCTTTGGTTGATAACTTCCCAACCATCCATCCACCCCCACCTTCCCTATAAGATTTGACAGTTTGTTCCATGCTTCTATGTCTCTGGATCTATTTTGTTCATCAGTTTATTTTGTTCATTACATTCCTCATATAAGTGAGATCATGCAATACTCGTCTTCCTCTGACTGGCTTATTTTTCTTAGTATAATACTCTCCAGGTCCCTGCATGCTGCCTCAGAGGGTAAGAGATCCTTCTTTTTCACTGCTGCATAGTCTTCCATTGTACAAATATACTACAGCTTTTTTATCCACTCTTCTACTGATGGGCACTTGGGCCGTTTCCAAATCTTAGCTATTGTAAATTGTACTGCTATAAACATAGGGATGCATATATTCTTTCTGATTTGTGTTTCAGGTTTCTTATGATATAGTTCTAAAAGTGGGATCATGGGGTCAAATGGCAGTTTCATATATAATTTTTTGAGGAAATGCCATGCTGTTTTCCATAATGGTTGCACCAGTCTGCTTTTCCACCAGCAGTGTACTAGGGATCCCTTTTCTCCACATCCTCGCCAACACTTGTCATTTGTTGATTTGTTGATGGTAGCCATTCTGACAGGTGTAAGGTGATACCTTTGTTATTTTAATTTGCATCTCTGATAATTAGTGACTTTGAGCATTTTTTATATCTCTCTTGGTCATCTGTATGTCTCCTTTAGAGAAGTGTCTATTTAGGTATTTTGCCCATTCTTAAATTGGGTTGTTTTTCTTTGTTTTTCTTCCTTTTGTTAAGTTGTATTATTTCCTTATATATTTTGGATATTAACCCTTTATCACATGTATCATTGCCAGATATGTTCTCCCATGTAGTGGGCTCCCTTTTCATTTTGTTGATGGTTTCTTTTGCTGTGCAGAAGCTTTTACTTTGATGTAGTCCCGTCTGTTTATTTTCTCTGTAGTTTCCTTTGCCCTAGGAGATGTATCTATAAACATATTGCTACGAGAGATGTCTGAGATTTTGCTGCCTCCGGTTTCTTCTAAGATTTTTATTGTTTCACGTCTTACATTAAAGTATTTTATCCATTTTGAGCTTATTCTTGTGACTGGTGTAAGAAGTTGGTGGTCTAGTTTCATTTTTTGCATGTCTCTGTCCAACTTTCCCAGCACCATTTATTGAAGAGACTACCTTTACACCATTGCCTGTTCTTGCCTCCTTTGTCAAAATATTAATTGAGCATAATGGCTTGGCTCAATTTCTGGGGGCTCTGTTCTGTTCTATTGATCTATATATCTGTTCTTATGCCAGTACCAGGCTGTTTTGATTACAGGAGCTTTGTAGTATAACTTAATATCTGATACTGTGATCCCTCCAACTTTGTTCTTCTTTCTCAAGATTGCTGAGGGTATTTGGGGTCTTTTTGGTTCCATATAAATTTTTGGAGTATTTGTTCTAGATCTGTGAAATATGCTATTAGTATTTTAATAGGGATTGCATTGAATCTATAGATATCTTTGGGTAGTATGGATATTTTAATGATGTTGTGACTCCCTGTTAGGGCCCAGAGTCCTCTGGCATACAATTCACTGTGCAACCCCAGCACCTAAGGCAGCATGGCAACCTAAGTCCCTCTGGCAGCACACATGCAGTGTGGTCCTGTGACCTGTTTTCGGGCACACCAGGTCGCACCAGCAGCTCTGATTTGGGCTGGGGGTAAAACATGCACCAGGTGACAGCTCTGTCCATGCCATGGGGCGGAGCCCACAGTGTGCTTAGCAATAGGGGCATGCACTCCAAGTCTCACCACGGGGTCCAGGTGCCAAGTCACACTGTGCCTGCGGCTGAAGCAATAGGTTTGGTGGGAGGGGCGCATACTCCAAGACTCACCAAGGGGTACAAGCCCTAAGTCTTGTGGGTCCTATGGCTGAAGTGGCGGGCTTGGCAGGAGGGGCACACTCCAAGACTCACCGAAGGGTCCAGTTGCTGAGTTTCATGGCTCTAGTAGCGGGCTTGGTGTAAGGGGAGTGCACTCTGGTACTTACCAAAGGATCCAGTTGCCAAGTCATGTGGGGCCTGTGGCTGAAGCAACAGGCTTGGAGCACACTCTGGGGCTCACAGGAGCCTTCAGCTGGGGAGGCTGAAGTCCTGGAGTCTGTGGGTCTGCAGAAGAGGTAGCAGGTCTTTGGCCTGAGTGACTACAGGGTCCAGGATGGTGTCTGAGGCCAGTCTGGGTGGTAGTGAGGCTGGGCTGCTAGTCACAGAAGCTCTCCCCTTCCAAATGGCATGGTTTCTGAGCTAGAGCTTGCCGCCCCGGGAGTGATTGCCAGATGTTTGTTTTTTAAAGGAAAGTGACACACAACAATAAAGATGAAAATCACACCCAATTCTTTAGATGATATTTTATTTTTATGAACATATTTTCCTGTTATTGTAAATTTATACTAAGTAAATAATGATGGCATCAACTGGCATTCTTAGTGTGTTTTAATCATATTTTTCTAAAAGCAACTACCAAAAGAACTTCCTAACAAACACCACTTAAACACTTAAATGAGTCTAATTCTTATATAATGATAGCTTATTTAGATATTGTTCTTCATTCCATTTTCTTCTCTATCCTATTGTCATTAACAATAATGAGATTTCCACACTTTCTCTGAAAAAAAATACATTCTTTGAACAATGGTTTGTCTGCTGAATCTTATTATAGAAAATGGAGCATGTCTTCAGAATCATGTTTAATAACTCTAGCCTAACACAAAGCCTTCAAGTTGATTTGAGTCACATCTGATTTGAGCTTTATTTATGGCCCTTATCATACTGTACTGTAATTGACTCTTCACTTTTCTGTCTCCAAACTAGATTTAGACATTCTCAAGGGCAAAGGTCATGTCTTACTCATCTCTGTATCTTCACATGTTAAGCACTATGCCTTAGCACAGTGTTGACACTGAGGAAATATTTGTTGTACTAGGATGTACTTCCTCTTACCCTCAGTTCACTTATTGCCAAATAGTCATTCACTCACTCACTAACTGAATACAAATTCATTGTTAATAATGCTTCCCTCTCTGAATATGAGAGATAATTATTCAAGTACATTTTTTTCTCTGCAACCTTTTAAAGAAAAGGTTTTCATTGTACATCACTCATTCAATAACAAAAAAATTATTGAGTATATAATATATGCCAAAAAATAATGCTATGTACTGAAGCAACATTGATAAAAAAAGATAGATGAGGTCTTTGCTCTTCCAATGAAAGAGACAGACATTTAATAACAGTTACTTAATAACAGAAGCAAATGTCTCATCATAACAATCAAACTGTTTCTAAATTGCCTTTCCTCATCTATCTATTTCATTGGACTATTATGTCCTTAAGGAAAAAAACTCTGTTTATCTGCTTTGCTGGGATTCATCCTATTAATTTCCCAACACTTAGCACAGTGTCTGATACATGGAAAAAGCCCAACTAATATTAGACAAAGAAATTAAAAAATTAAGAAGTGACTTATCCAATGAGTAAAGATTATCAATGTTACAATGTGCTAAGACAATCTTCATACCTCCTACTGAGAAGGTCTTGAATTTATAAACAATAGATACAATTTATGGAATCATAATCTACTATAGACATGGCCTATAGAATTTAAGCACTCTATCCCAGTCAAATTATTCTCCTTCCCAGAAAAAGGATAAGCATTGATTAAAAAATAAGTTAAAAGAGAGAAACAAGATGGCAGTGTAGGTAAATGCCAGTATGTACTGCCTCCCACAACTTTATCAAAATTACAACTAAAATACAGAACAACCATCATTCAGAGCTGTTTGAAATATGGCTGAATGGAAGTCCTACAACTGGAGAAGTAAGAAGAAAGTACATCAAGACTGGTAGGAGGGGCAGAGGCACAGAACAGGCTGATCAGACACCCACGTGAAGCATTATTTTTAGTCAAGAGGGATATCTCCACTATCGATTCCTTCCAGGAGAAGCAAGGGGTCCCAAATCCACACCAGAAACCCAGCCTGGGGTTCCAGATCTGGGAAAAGAAGTTCCAGTAACTTTTGGCTGTAAAAACCAGTGCGGATTGTGGCTGAGTGACACTGAGGCTGTTGGAAACCCAGGCAGTTCCTCTTAAAGGGCTGGTGCACAAACTTACACAGACTTGCTCACCCTGTGCTCCAGCACCAGGTGGTTTTGGGGAACCCAGACACATACGAGGAAGAACTGGATTGTCTGCCATCGGAGCAAGAATTTAGGGTGGCTTTCTCCCAGATAAGGGTGCTTGCAGGGGTCATTGTTCCTATGCTGAGACCTCCCCCATTGCAGAGCTGACTGGCAGCCATATCTGAATTTTCATCATCCTGGCTCATAGTTTGCTCTACCCTGATTATTCCTCAAGACCCCACCCCATCCAATGGGCTGTCCACCCAAGCCATTTGCAGCAGATTTTCCATATGAATGGACTATCCTGGCTCAGGCTTCAGACTTTCCTAAAATCTCTCAAACAAGCAGCAGCTGGTGTCAGCATGCCCCATACCTATCAATAAGAGGCCCAAGACAGCTTGGTCTCCCCTTGGCACTTCTAAGCCCAACACAAGTAGCAACCATATACAGATCACCTGGTAAGTCCTGCTGAGTGGCTCCAGGCAGTGGCTGACTTTGCACCTTCCAGAAGGCCCCAGAGCCAGTGTGCCCGGTACACAGCTTCAGACCATACCAGAGTACAACTTTACACATCCACGAGCGACACACTCAAGAAGCAGACTCAGTGAACACCAAAGCCCCACCGAAGCAAGTCCTGCTCCATAAGGGTGTCTCCTGCACAGCAGATCTTCCATTGTAGCCACAGCTGTTTCTCATAGCCAATTGGCCTGGAGGTTAATTCCTCCCAGTGAATCCAACAGCAACCATGGCTCAACTGCAACAAGACTGTGAACATAGCCCACACAAGGATGCACCTAGAGTGCCCAACTCAGGTGACTTGGGAAGCTGAACCATTGGGCCCTAAGGGACACCTACTATACAAGACCACTCTACAAATTCCAGGAGACATAGAAGCTCTAACTAATACATAGGTACAAACACAGGGAAGCAGCCAAAATGCAGAGATGAAGAAACATGTCACAAATGAAAGAATAGAATAGTGGTTCTCAACCTTCCTAATGCTGTGACCCTTTAATACAGTTCCTCATGTTATGGTGACTCCCAACCATAAAATTATTTTCGTTGCTACTTCATAACTGTAATTTTGCTACTGTTATGAATATGAATCATAATGTAAATATCTGATATGCAGGATATATTTTCATTGTTCATGACCCACAGGTTGAGAACCACTGGAATAGAATAATCTTCAGAAAAAGGACTAAATAAAATGGAAGTAAGCAAACTATTGAATACAGAGCTCAAAGCAATGATTATAAGATTGCTCAAGGATCTTAATGAGAGCTTCAAAGAACTTAGTGTGAATTTCAAGGGTTCAAGGGTCTTAGTGAGAATTTCAAGAACCTTGGTGAGATCATCAAAGACATGAAAAAGTACCAGTCAGAAATTAAGCATATACTAACTGAAATAAAGCATGATTTATGGGGATTCAACAGTAAAGTAGAGGATTTTGAGAATCAAATCAATGACTTGGAATATGAAAAAGCAATCAAAAGAGCAAAAAGAAAAAGGAATCCAAAAATATAAAGGTAGTGTAAGATGCTTCTGGGACAATTTCAAGCATACCAACATTCGCATTAAGGGGATGCCAAAAGGAGAAGAGAGAGAACAAGATATTGAAAACCTATTTGAAGAAATAATGACAGAAAAATTTCTCTACCTACTGAAAGAAATAGGCTTTTAAGTCCAGGAAGCACATACAGTCCCAAACAAGAACTCAAAGAGGACCACACCAAGACACATCATAATTAAACTGCTAAGGGTTAAAGACAAAAAATCTTAAAAGCAGCAAAAGAAATGCAGTTACATACAAGGGAGCACCCATATGACTGTCAGCTGATTTCTCAACAGAAACTTTGCAGGCCAGAAATAAGTGGTAAGAAATATTCAAAGTGATCAATAGCAAGGAACTACAACCAAGATTACTCTACCCAGCAAAGCTATCATAGAATTGAAGGTCAGATAAAGAGCTTCCTAGACAAGAAATAGCTAAATGGGGTCATCACCACCAAACCAGTATGACATGAAATGTTGAAAGGTATCCTTTAAGAAGAGGAAGAGGAGAAGAAGAAAGAAGAAGAAGAAGAAGAAGAAGAAGAAGAAGAAGAAGAAGAAGAAGAAGAAGAAGAAGAAGAAGAAGAAGGAGAAAAATATGAACAAATGTCAATAAATGCATAACTATCAGAAATTGAATCTAAAAATCAAAATGAACAAACAAGTAATCTAATGAACAAAATAAACTGATGAATAAAATAGAACCAGAGACATGGAAATATAGAACAGACTGGCAAATCTAAAAGGGAAGAGGATTGGGCGGGGAGGGGGGGGGGAGAGATTAAACAAAAACTTATATGCATATGTGTATTACCTATGGATATAGACAATAGGGTGGTGAAGGCCTGGCAGGAACCAGGTGGGTGGGGGAGGGAGCAATGGGTAGAAAAATGGGGATATCTGTAATACTCTAACAGTAAAGTTTAAAAACATAGTGACAACATCAAACACTGCAAATATATGGAGAAATCATTGTTCATACATTACTGGTAGGAATTTAAAATGGTACAGCCACTCCACAGAATAGGTTGGCTGTTTTTTTCTTGTACAACTAAACATGATTATCAAACAACTGTACTCTTGGGCATTCCAGAAAAATAAAAGCTTAGATTCACACATACATGAAAAAAAAAAGTTAAAGAGAACTTGCAAGGAAAGACTCAATGATGATAATACATAATAATTACTGAGCATGGACCAAAGTTTGTGTTAGGAGATTTACATAGATTTTCTCATTAAGTACTTTTGACATCATATAGTAATTATAACCAAAAAAGACCCCGAATCACTGCAGCAATCTTGAGAAAGAAGAACAAAATTGGAGGAATACCAGATATCAAGT